CACACACACACACACACACACACACACACACACACACACACACACACACACACACACACACACACACACACACACACACACACACACACACACACACACACAACACACACACACACACACACACACGTAACCGCAGGCGCCATAGCGACATGTGGCCACCCCCAGCCGACCGACAAGCCGACAATGAAGCCATCTTATCAGCTTTCGACTAACGACGTCACAGTGAGAAAAACTCAAGATGTCAATCGATCAGTTCTGAATGGCTTTCGATATAAATTCGTAAGATATAATTGCGATGATGAAAATCGAAATGGAATCGGAAATGTATTATACTCGTAGCTCGAGGGCAGGTGACGGCATTTGCGTAACGTAACGTGTTATTATATATAATAATACCCATGCTTCAATATGTTAACACCCATGCTTCCTGCATCTTCCTCTTCGTTTCACCTACTTCTCCTCCTGCTTCTCTTTCTTCTCTTCTACTTTTTTTCTCTTCCTGGTCATCCTCTTCTCCGTCACGCGCCTCTTCCATCCTCATCAGTCTCCTAATCATTATCATTATCACCATCACCATGACGACGACCACGTTCATCTAGATCTATGCACAAATACACAGTGATATACAGCTCTGCACAAATACACAGTGATATACAGCTGTATATCACTGTGTATTTGTGCATCACTCTATATCACTGTGTATTTGTGCATCACTCTATATCACTGTGTATTTGTGCATCGGTCGCATGCATACATAACGTGGACACGTAACACAAACACGTTACTGGGACATGTCGCATGCATACATAACGTGGACACGTAACACAGACACGTTACTGGGACAGGTCACATGTTAACACCTCACCGTTAAGTGTCTCGTGTAAAGCGTTTTAACGCGTCAAAATTGTATACGTTTGTGTACGTTTTTGTCTTTCCGCGTACAGTGCATTTAATTCCAATCTTAATCCATTTAGGATTTATATCCATGTTTTTATATGGTGTTACGTCGCTGCACTAAGGTAATAGAAGTACGAGAAACAGAACGTTCGTAAGAGAAACAGTAACAAGTGAGTTTGTGTCATTATAATGTCACGCTGTTTTAATATCGGTAATATCGACACGATTTTTACTCTTCACAGCGAACAATAACAATAGTTATTATTAGTAAATATATGAATAAATATTATTAATGACTCAACAGGTAAACAAACAGTTAAAAAGTGCAATTTAAAATCAGTTAATTACTCAACGTAGATCAGCGCTGCACCGACGTCAGCGCCATCTATCGACGTCCGGGGTTTTCACGGGCAGGAGAGGTGCAGATGGGAAAGGCTGACGGCGAAGTGCACAGGCACTTGGACCGTTTCAATAATAAAATGATGGTTAATAAATACAAATTGTCAGTACTAGACCTACCAGTACCAGTACCAGTAATAGTCTTAATGTTTGATTTGACCTAATAACTTCACTTCAACACCGTCCAATACACCGCTGCAACACATAACGCGCACGCCATTGTGCATGCACAAATACACAGTGATATAGAGTCACGTTACTGGGACAGGTCGCATGCATACATAACGTGGACACGTAACACAGACACGTTACTGGGACATGTCGCATGCATACATAACGTAGACACGTAACACAGACACGTTACTGGGACATGTCGCATGCATACATAACGTGGACACGTAACACAGACACGTTACTGGGACATGTCGCATGCATACATAACGTGGACACGTAACACAGACACGTTACTGGGACAGGTCGCATGCACACATAACGTGAACACGTAACACAGACACGTTACTGGGACATTAAGAAGTAAATAATGTTCCAGTAATTCCTGTCAAACAAGTAGAGCTACACTGATAGCAATGAAATACTGAAATACTTCGAGTATGGATAATAAATACAAAGCTAATACTTTTATTAATAATGGAAAAAATTGAACAAAATAAGGGCCTGTTCAATTTGCCTAAGGGCCTGTTTAAAATTTTAGGTGGGCCTGTTTACATTTTGGACAATTTCATGTCCTGCCCGTCTGTTTATGCCATTGCTGACTCACCATCAGCTTACGTATATTCGAATATTTTTATCAATGGGAAAATTACATTTTAAAGTGACTGTATGATATGCTATTACATTGCAACTACTTTAACTTTCCATTAATGCCATTATGATTAGCGTAGCATCTTACACACGACTCGCTTCATTATAAAGCATTCGCTCACAATAAACATTAAAAGATACCAAAGCTGCATAAATTTTCAATTTCTTTTTCTCAATAAATCGAAGGGAAATGTTCTGCTAAATATCTATTGAAACCCAGACGTGCCTCGCACGCCACTTCGTTCATTGTGTTGAGAGTTGCTGATGTAAGTGCGACCGTAGGAGAATCTAGAAACGCGTGGGCGAGCTAGCCATGTGAAGAAGCATGCTAATAAAGTTTATCTCAGTTAGATCCAAATTAAGTTAAAAATAACTTACACTGACGAAAATTTCGTCAGTGTAAGTTATTTTTAACTTAATTTGGATCTAACTGAGATAAACTTTATTAGCATGTGAACTATAGAGATCCGATGAAATTATTCAATCATATGTGAAGAAGATTTAGGAATTTACCTGTTTATGTTAGTTTGGGGGATGAATTTGGAAACATTGTTTACTAAGATCAGCTTTGTTTGCTACTGACGGCTAGCTTTAATTCTCTGCATGGGCTTACCGAGCGCTAACACTTCTAAACAATAACATGACAGCTTGTGGTGTATATTACGTGATGGGGTTTTAGTAAAAAAACATGGATTTCTTTTAAGGCAAAGATCCATGATTTCGATCCAATTCAAAAATCAGAAACCCAGTACATGGCACAGAGAAGTTTTAAGAGCGCTGTTTCAGCTAACCAGCGATACATCCGCGGGATGTAATGAACATACGTAACGTGCACACGTAACGTGAACACGTTACATCGCAATGCTATCTGCGTATATAACGCGACTCGATTGCATGAGTATGTTACACTGAAACGTAATGCATGCGCATATAACGCAGACACGTAAATTGAACACACTACTGAGCAGCATACATAACGTGGACACGTAACACAGACACGTTACTGGGACAGGTCGCATGCATACATAACATGGACACGTAACACAGAAACTCTACTTGTTTGACAGGAATTACTGGAACATGATTTACTTCTTAGTAGTCACCAAGTAAAAACTAGTTGATATAAAGCCAAGACAGGCAAGTTTACTGATTATATAGAGGGTTGAACTGGCGGTTTAGGGGGTTGAATCGGCGGTTTAGGGGGTTTAAACTGGTGGCCGCCGGCAAAATAGCGCTAATTTCAGGCACTGGACGGGACGACGGAGTGATGCGCCCATTGACCCACCTAAGTCCAAAATTGTAATCGAGGGCGAAAAGAACGGAGACATTAGATACAAAATCGCCTCCGCCAATGAATTTGCATTTACGGAGGAATAATTTCTATAAAAATATAATGAACGCAAATTCGTAGAAATGCGCAACCTCACCGTAAGTGTCTCGTGTAAAGCGTTTTAACGCGTCAAAATTTTATACGTATGTGTTGTCTTTCCGCGTACAGTCCATTCTTAATTCATTCATGATTTATATCGCTGATATTATATCGCTGATTTATATCATGATTTATGTCGCTGCAGTAAGGTAATAGAAGTACGAGAAACAGAACGTTGGTAAGAGAAACAGTAACAAGTGAAGTTCGTGTCATTATAATACCACGATGTTTTAGTTTTAATATCGGTAATATCGACACGATTTTTACTCATCACAGCAAACAATAACAATAGTTATTATTAGTAAATATATGAATAAATATTATTAATGACTCACAGGTACAAACAAACAGTAATCAACGTAGGTCAGCGCTGCACCGATGTCAGCGCCATTTATCGACGTCCGGGGATTTTACGGGCAGCCGAGGTGCAGANGATGATACTGACAATGAAATGAAAGCAAAAGATAATACTCAGATAGACAATGAGTTGAATTCTGACGGTAGAGGATCCACACACAATGAACCAGGCAGGGAAGACAACAGCATTGAGGCAAATGCAAATGTGAGCTAACGCATCTTATTTCCTCTGAATATATTTAAAGAAATGCTCAAGCTGCCATTGATCAAGAAAGAGGCTTGACGTTATGCTATAATACTAAGATCAACGAATTCACACGACATGATATTGCAAATGTTGCACAAAATATTTCCTTAGCTAAACATACAATCTTGTCTGTATTTTCCATGTAGGTTAATCCGCCGCACATGCAGCACGTTGGGGATCTGCTGCGCAAGCTTCAGCTAGAAATTCCGGACATCAACAATTTAATTGACTTCTCAAACGGTCAAGTAGATGACCTGGCCTTCGACTGGAAGACAATGAACTGGACGGACTGTTCTCAAACGTGCGGTGGTCATGGCGTGCAGGCACGAACGGCTGTATGTGAGGTGAGCTCCACTCAACTGTATCAAAGGAGGGCGGAGGGTCGTTACGATTGGGACGAATGCAACAAGCATACCATTCCATACTCCGTGTAGAATTTCACTGCATTATCTAACCATCTGTGGAGGAAATACGTTTGATATGTACAGTCACTACACGCCTCGCATGTCCTAGCCGCTCGTATAGACGTGTGCAGTCCATGTATACGCACACGACGACGTTCTATTTTTGTGATGCGTCTAGGTATCGATACACGGGAAACGCAAGAAGGTGGATTCAACGTTGTGTACGGAGGCGGGCCTTCCCAAACCACCCGTGATGCGCAAGTGTGGGATCGGTCAGTGCCCAGGATGGATCGTTGGGAATTGGTCCAACGTAAGTGCAGATGTACGCCTCCCCCCCTCCGCCACCACACCGCTTGATCGTTGCTCCCGCAAATCTTAATGAATCAATCCTCAATTCGAATTAATCGGACGGTAGGTCAGATATTTAAGCATTTAATTATAGCGAGATCGGTGTGCAAGGTCGCGGGAGTTGCCGGTGTGTGGGAAGAAGTTTGGTAGGATCATGGCGAGTCTATGTTTCTTACGTCATCAATCCAGCAGCCTATTGCCATAGACCATTAGTGTAGAGACACAATTACTTATAGACACGTTACTAATGGTTTCAAACGCTGGAATGGTTTCACAAGTTTGAGTGGAGAAGAAATTAAGCTGCAACCACTATAGAAACCGCATGACTTTAATACCCAATGAACTGCCTGCCAAACATGCATGAGTCAGTCTCAGAAGTAGTGTGCATGTATGGCTGTCAAGCTCTTGCAGGTATTAACAGTCATGCCGTCTTCAACGTTCTACGTTTTACGTTCGTGTCTTCCGGTAGATAACTTTACATAGGTGGTGAGAAACGCGTGTACAAACAGACAACACTTGGCTTATATATATATATATATATATATATAGTGGGGATCTATATATTTCATTTTTCTTCTATCTGCTGGAGTTTTATTTTCTGCCATGTGTATCTCTGGGGTGATCTGTTGCGCTTGAGCATGTTCCTCTGAATTCCCGCATATATAGACGACGTTCAGCACTTATTGTTCAGCAGAAAATCTAGATATCAAGTTCCTGTTGAATAATTCAAATGTGAGAGTTTCGTAATGGCTGATAATCGATTTGGCTGCTAAATAATGGCATGGTGCTTGGAGTTTATCAAATTATGCGTTCCTCATGAAATATACCGATATACCGTATTATAGCCAAATACGGTCTATGCCAAATCTGTGAGGTGTAAAAAAGTAAAATCTTGGCGGCTAACGCGCCGTCACCCACTAACTGCATGTGCATTAAAAAGTAGCTACGCTACAAGATTCCCTAATATGAAATATAACATATAAACCCCGTATTGTTGAAGCATGTCGAATTGCGGTAGTAGGCACTGACCGAAATACTGTAAAATCCTTTTTTTCGTGGGGTTCTAATTTTTGTGGATTTCGTGGGTCCATTAATCTACGAATTTATGTACCAAACGAAATATTATGTACATATGTCAATTGCCGGTTCCGGAGTGGAGGCCCGCAAACCGACGCCTGCCGTCTGTGCGTACTAGTAATATATACTATCAACAACTTCAACAACTAGTTAGTAATCTGTTTGTTGGCATTGTTGTTTTTGAAAAAAAAAATTATTGGAAGGCTTGATCCACGAATTTAAGAACCCGCGAACATGTATTTTTTTTATTGAAACCACGAAAATTGGAACCCACGAAAATAAGTGACTTTACAGTATGACTCACAACCAGAACGTCCCGTTTCCTTTGAGTCATTAGATTATTCCGAATTATTAAACATGATACTAACGCTATCCAGTTTAATTCAAAATCATAGTTTCCACTGATGAATATTGTGCCAGATGAGACGTTATGTCGTTCATATGAGCAAATACGTCTCAACTCATTTGTGGACGACCCATGAGCGCAAGCAATCCATATAAATCATCCACTGCTAATGGTTCACTAATAAATATAAAGGATCATCTAGCCAACGGCTATGGTCACACGACACTCACGTGCGTGCGTGTTACGATACAATGTTCATCCGGCATTTCATGGTTTACATGGAGTGAACATGTTGCGTTTTCCTGCTTGCCCGTATAGTGCATGGCCTCTGAGTGACACGGACTAAACATGGCGCTAAGGCGCCGCGACCTCACTGTCAGCTTCCCAACAGCACTAACTTGCCCCCTGACAACTGCAACACCCTCACCAAGCCTAGAGACACGGAGGACTGCCACAACAAGAAGTGTGAGGCAGTGTGGAAGGTTGGAGAATGGACCGAGGTATCTGTTACACCTCAGCCACTGTAAACATCGCACTGTGCATCTATGTGGCTTGTTGCATACGGAGTCGGCATCGCGCCATGCACTGCCTACCCATACTTCATCTGCATGATCCGCTGTCGATGTTGTCTCCCTGTTTAGTGCTAGCATGCTGTAGTTTATATCCCGACATTGCTGTGCATAGCATGCTAACAGTTCGCCGAATAGTTAGAGCAATTACGAAAGATCACAAAGAATTTTACATTTGAAATAATGGTTTCTAATCAAGACTGTTAGTAGCATGCATTGTTTTCTCATAGCAGCTTGTAAATGGAAATGCTCTTTCTTGTTTTCCCCAACGTATACACATCATCAGAAAATTAATGCATGTAAGCCAAATGAGTGTGTTTGTTGTTATTGTGTTGAGCTGCAGTTGTATGCCATACATATAAAACATGTTGGGTCACAATAGCATTATCAGATTTGCGCACTTTAATACGCACACTAAACCCCAAATTACATCATTACACTGCATTTCTCTCACAATTATGTGCTAGATACATGAGGTGCGTGCGTGCGTGCGTGCGCGTATTGTTATTCGCTGTGCACAAGTAACCCGTTGATCTGTGGCTGCGACATCGCCTGGCTGACTGTGCATCCATTCTACCCCAAGGGCACGTGCACAAATGGCAACAACTTCGCCATCAGCCTTTCCCATCTGCACCTCTCCTGCCCGTGAAAACCCAGAACGTCGATAGATAGCGCTGACGTCGGTGCAGCGTTGACATACGTTGATTAATTAACTAATTTTAAATTGCACTATTTAACTGTTTGTTTACCTGTTGAGTCATTAATAATATTTATTCATATATTTACTAATAATAACTATTGTTATTGTTCGCTGTGAACGCGATGATCGGGGTGATGAGTAAAAATCGTGTCGATATTGCCGATATTAAAACAGCGTGATATTGTAATGACACAAACTCACTTGTTACTGTTTCTCTTACGAACGTTTTGTTTCTCGTACTTCTATTACCTTACTGCAGCGACGTAACACCATGTAAAAATATGGATATAAATCATGAATGAATTAAGAATGTAATTAAATGCACTGTACGCGGAAAGACAACACACACGATACACTTAACGGTGAGGTTGCACATTTTTACGAATTTGCGTTTATTAAATATGCAATATATTTCCACAGATCATACCCACAACTACTTCATATTTTTATAGAAATTATTCCTCCGTAAATGCAAATTCTTTGGCGGGGGCGATTTTGTATCTAGTGTCTCCGTTCTTTTCGCCCTCGATTACAGTTTTGGGCTTCAGTGGGTCAGTGTGCGCATCACTCCGTCGTCCCGTCCAGTGCCCGAAATTAGCGCTATTTTGCCGGCGGCCTCCGGTTCAACCCCGTAAACCGCCGGTTCAACCCCCCATATAATCAGTCCACTTGCCTGTCTTGGCTTTATATCAACTATTTTTTACTTGGTGACTACTAAGATAGAGATACACTGCTAGCAATGAAATACTGAAATACTACGAGTATGGATAATAAATACAAAGCTAATACTTTTATTAATAATGGACAAAATTGAACAAAATAAGGGCCTGTTTAAAATTTTAGGTGGGCATGTTTACATTTTGGACAATTTCATGTCCTGCCCGTCTGTTTATGCCATTGCTTACTCACCATCAGCTTACGTATATTCGAATATTTTCATCAATGGGAAAATTACATTTTAAAGTGACTGTATGATATACTATTGCATTGCAACTACTTTAACTTTCCATTAAAGCCATTATGATTAGCGTAGCATCTTACACACGACTCGCTTCATTATAAAGCATTCGCTCGCAATAAACATTAAAAGATACCAAAGCTGCATACATTTTCAATTCCTTTTTCTCAATAAATCGAAGGTAAATGTTCTGCTAAATATCTATTGAAACCCAGACGTGCCTCACACGCCACTTCGTTCATTGTGTTGAGAGTTGCTGATGTAAGTGCGACCGTAGGAGAATCCAGAAACGCGTGGGCGAGCTAGCTATGTGAAGAAGCATGCTAATAAAGTTTATCTCAGTTAGATCCAAATTAAGTTAAAAATAACTTACACTGACGAAAATCGGCTAGCTTTAATTCTCTGCATGGCTTACGAGCGCTAACACTTCTAAACAATAACATGACAGCTTGTGGTGTATATTACGTGATGAGGTTTTAGTAAAAAAACATGGATTTCTTTTAATGAAAAGAACCATGATTTCGATCCAATTCAAAATCGAAACCCAGTACATGGCACAGAAGAAAGTTTAAGAGCGCTGTTTCAGCTCGGATACATCCGCGGATGTAATGAACATACGTAACGTGCACACGTAACGTGAACACGTTACATCGCAATGCTATCTGCGTATATCACGCGACTCGATTGTATGAGTATGTTACACTGAAACGTAATGCATGCGCATATAACGCAGACACGTAAATTGAACACACTACTGAGCAGCATACATAACATGGACACGTAACACGGACACGTTTCTGGGACAGGTTACTTGCATACATAACGTGGACACGTAACACAGACACGTTTCTGGACAGGTTACTTGCACACATAACGTGGACACGTAACACAGACACGTTTCTGGACAGGTCACATGCATACATAACATGACACGTAACACAGACACGTTTCTGGACAGGTTACATGCATACATAACGTGGACACGTAATACGGACACGTTACTGGGACATGTCGCATGTACACATAACGTGGACACGTAACACAGACACGTTACTGAACATGTCGGCATGCACACATAACGTGGACACGCAACATGGACACGTTGCACAGATATCTGCCTTGCATGGGTAACGTGAATACACAGTATGTGCATAATCATTGTTATTACCTCCGCCAAGGGGTTGGCAGGAGGTTATGTTTTCACCGGCGTGTGTTTGTTCGTTTGTGGGTTTGTAACACCGTTCTTTGTGTACAGCCTAACTAAAAAAGTTATGGACAAATTGTCATAAAATTTTCAGGATAGGTCAGAAATGGGCTAACTTAGAATTGAAAAGATTTTGGTGGTGATCCGGATCCAATTAATTATTTAATTAATACAATTCTTCACAGTGAGAGAATTCAGCTGCTTTGGCGGAGGTCTGCGCTCTCCGAGTGCTGTAGTTATTGCTGTTATTGTTAGTAGAGCAGGAGTTTGTAATAAATCGGCATTGGTTCGGCGGAGAAGCAATTATTTTTGTTCTATTGTGAATACAGTAAATGGAGAAATTGCAAGTAGGAAGCTACAGTGTGCGAATTGGGCAGGCTGCAGTGTTTGTGAGAAGCTGTGTTTTGTAAAACAAAAAGAAGCTGCAAATAAAAAATGGGGGAAAATTTCAGGGTAAACAATAAAAGATAGGAACTCCCAAATGTAGATCATAGCTTGTTCTCCCCGTACGTGGGTCCTTGTAACATGTTGATAAATAAAACTGTTATATCTTATCGTATATCTTGTGTCATTTGCACACGCGACGCGTGAGACAGCAGAGTGACCGATCACGTGACGATTAGTAATGAAGCACGTGACAGGGTAATTCATCTTACCTCCAATCACAGCGGTTCCAACTGAAACCCACCACACGCCAGATCAGGTTTGTGTGACATTTACGGTGACCTTATAGCACGTCACGTGTAGGTAAAAGGCCGACTGACCGCGTATAAATAGTGAGCCTTACGCCGATAGAAAGCAGTCAACGTTTGATCAGCAAGTCAGGTGGACATCAGGAGCAGCAGCCGGTAAGGTAAGCACGTTTACATTTATTTATGAGTTGATAAGTTCTCTGAGGACTACGCATCTATAAACGCCGTGTTTAGTATCTAGTTAAGATTCTCGAGTATTTCTCGAGGTTCTCAGGTTAGTATTTCAAACCAAGAGAGACAATATAGACCAAGGTAGATGGTCAAGAGTGACAGATCGACGTAACCATATAGATGTAGATGTGTAGTATTTAGTAAAGATTCTCATTCGAAGCGACGTTTGTTTACTATTCGCTGTGATATCGTATTGCTGTATTCTTTACTTTACTGGCTTGCGTATTAGAACCAGGCCTGGCGCTTGTGAATTTGCGCTGGCTCTGTGTATAGCTTCGTTCCGTTTCTCGGTGTAGTTACAGATACAAAGAGTTACTACAGCAATCATGTGCAAGCTGGTCATCCTTCTCGTGGCGGCCGTGGTCATCGCCGTCACTCACGCTCACCCACACCCACACTTCCACCCTCCGTGTCCGTCGATGCACCATGTGCTGGAAGAGTGTACATGCACCGGCCCCTACAACGGCTACCCTAGCATCGTCTGCGATGGTCACGATATGTCCAGCAGCCAAGCGTTCAGCGTCATGGAGGCGTTGCCCCGTGACGTCACCTACTCTAGCATCGAGCTGCATGGGTTCGATCACATGGAGGAGGTGCCAGAGCACGTCTTTGACGGCCTGCACTTTGAACACGGATCACTGAAGATTGATGACAGTCACCACCACGGGGTGGCGCCAGTGCTGCATGCACACTCCTTTGAAGGAATGTATCATCTGGAAGAACTCACGCTTTCCTACTTGAAGTTGACTGGCGTGCCGGCAATCATCTTCCATTCCATCGAAGACAGCGTCGGTAAGTCAGAACAGATAGGTTGTCTTTGATTGATGTTGGCTTTCATAGGTCATGTTGGTGTTGTAGTAGTGTTTCAGGGAAGCATGTAACCTGTTGCAGAAAGGCTGAGTCTGAAGGGCAACGACATCACGGAGCTAATCCCTGACGCCTTTCGACTGAACTCTGCACACCCTCGTCGAACTGAAACTTGGGCCGGAGATGACCTGATGAGGTGAGTAAGTAACAATCTGTAACGCTGCTGATAGCAGTTACTCAATCGTATATTCGATTATAATCGGTCGTTTGCCTTCGGATTATCGAATCGATTGAATGCAAAACTCTGATGAATAAGATGATGAACATCTAGACCGATTTTCCTTACAGGGGTTTGGACTGAGCTCTCTCGTCTTTACCTTACTACCCGGGCACCTTCATTGAAGTCGAAAACACTGGGAAACTGCTGGAGCCTAGCCGGCACATGCTCCTGGTGTCTACTGCCAGCGGCGTGTTGTCTGGTCTGTCATCCACGTTGAAATCTATGACTTATCTGGCAGCCGTTTGACGTGATTGCCGGGAGCTTTGACTGAGTTACCGAAAGCATCCTTACGGTCGATATGCCAAAGCAACACCGTCTACTAATCGCAGAGGATGGCATTCAGGGACCTGACAAAAGACATGTGAGGTGAGACAGGGTGGGTGTGGGAGGGTGGGAGCATGCGGCAGATGCTGGAAGAGTCGAAGGCTCCCTGATTTACTGTCGAACTCCCTGATTTAACATAATATGAAGGAGTCCGTGTGTATACACATAAACTTGTTCAAAAGTGGTGTAAGATAATTTTGATGATATGATCCTACAATAAGATGCTGATGATAATGATACTGTTCGTTCCAGTACGTCGACCTGTCTGGCAACCATCTTACTACCCTCGCCAGGAATGTGTTTGACGATGACCTGGATTATCATCATCATTATCACCATCACCACAACGACGATCACGTTCATCTAGATCTCACGGATAACCCGTTGATCTGTGGCTGCGACATCGCATGGCTAACTGTGCATCCATTCTACCCCGAGGGCACGTGCACAAATGGCAACAACTTCGACGTCAGCCTTTCCCATCTGCACCTCTCCTGCCCGTGAAAACCCCGGGCGTCGATAGATGGCGCTGACGTCGGTGCAGCGCTGACCTACGTTGATTAATTAACTGATTTTAAATTGCACTATTGTTGTTGTTTACCTGTTGAGTCATTAATAATATTTATTCATATATTTACTAATAATAACTATTGTTATTGTTTGCTGTGATGAGTAAAAATCGTGTCGATATTACGATATTAAAACAGCGTGATATTATAATGACACAAACTCACTTGTTACTGTTTCTATTACCTTACTGCAGCGACGTAACACTATAAAAATCATAAATGAATTAAGAATGGAATTAAATGCACTGTACGCGGAAAGACAACACACACGTATACAATTTTGACGCGTTGCTTTACACGATACACTTAACGGTGAGGTTGTGCATTTTTACGAATTTTGCGTTCATTAAAATTATTATATTTTTATAGAAATTATTCCTCCGTAAATGCAAATTCTTTGGCGAGGGCGATTTTGTATCTAGTGTCGCCGTTCTTTTCGCCCTCGATTACAGTTTTGGACTTCGGTGGGTCAGTGCCCGAGATTAGCGCTATTTTGCCGGCGGCCTCCGGTTCAACCCCCTAAACCGCCGGTTCAACCCCCCCCCATATAATCAGTCCACTTACCTGTCTTGGCTCTATATCAACTAGTTTTTCAAAAAGAAGTAAAGCATGTTTCAAGTAATTCCTGTCAAACAAGTAGAGCTACACTGATAGCAATAAAATACTGAAATACTACGAGCATGGGATAATAAATACAAAGCTTTTATTAATAATAGAAAAAAATTGACCTGCCCGTCTGTTTATGCCATTGCTGTTTATTAGCGTAGCATCTTACACACGATTCGCTTCATTATAAAGCATTCGCTCACAATAAACATTAAAAGATACCAAAGCTGCATAAATTTGTATTTCCTTTTTTCATAATATCGAAGTAAATGTTCTGCTAAATATCTATTGAAACCCAGACGTGCCTCACACGCCACTCGTTCATTGTGTTTGAGAGTTGCTGATGTAAGTGCGACCGTAGGAGAATCAGAAACGGTGGCGAGCTAGCTGATGAAGAAGCATGCTAATAAGTTTATCTAGTTAGATCCAAATTTAAGTTAAAAAATAACTTACACTGACGAAATTTCGTCAGTGTAAGTTATTTTTAACTTAATTTGGATCTACTGAGATAACTTTGATTAGCATGTGAACTATGAGATCCGATAAAATTATTCAATTATATGTGAAGAAGATTTAGGATTTTACTGTTTATGTTGGTTGGGATGAATTTGGAAACTTGTTTACTAAGATCAGCTTTGTTGGCTACTGACGCTAGCTTAATTCTCTGCATGGGCTTACGCGAGCGCTAACACTTCTAAACAATAACATGCACAGCTTGTGGTGTATATTACGTGATGGGGTTTAGTAAAAAAACATGATTTTTTTTAAGGAAAGATCATGATTTCGATCCAATTCAAAAATCCGAAACCCAGTACATGGCACAGAGAAGTTTTAAGAGCGCTGTTTCAGCGATACATCCGCGGGATGTAATGAACATACGTAACGTGCACACGTAACGTGAACACGTTACATCGCAATGCTATCTGGCGTATATACACGCGACTCGACGTGATGCCGCCGATTCCGAGGCTCGCCGAGGATTGACACTTTTGTCTTCAATCACAGCTACGCCGCACCTCGCTATAATATATATAAGGTGGGACCCACATCAACAGTACCAAATCGCCGATCTCAGGAACTAGGGCATTTGCTAGGCTAGAACGGTTTCCCTGAGATAGAGTTTGCACAACAACGAAAATGAGCAAGTCGTTTAGCGCGACTGCGCTACGTCTTTCTGTTGTATTTTGGGTGGCATCTCCGTAATCAGAAGTAAGCCTCGCCTCTATTCGTTGATGGGCTTTGAATGCCGGGGCGTCAACGACTTGGACGCCGTTACTGCGTGTAGGTGTTTGGCGAGACTGTTATGCTTTGCGTAAATAATGATAGGCCGCCGGCCGATGCATTTCTCAGCCGAGTAGAAAAATTAGGCTTTTTTACGCCGTTTCGATAGTAACGGGGTGCGTCATTCATTGAACACTGAACTTTTCTTAAAAAGATTGTTTTAGCCAATGAGGGTAGGCTGTGCTGTTGACGTCTTGTCCCGCGCACTTAGTGCTTGCTTAGGGCCTTGAAATGATATCGGAGGCAGGCACCTCGCACCCGCGTGTTTGTTTACATTAATATAGTTATTAGCTTTGTGACGGTCCGGTGTTGCGGAGTTCTGCGATGATAACTCGTAATTGTCTCACATTTCTTAAAGGTGCATGCAACATTTTACCAATTTAGTGGTGTCAATTAGCTCACGGATATGTCACAGTAAGTTAACGTATAGCTTTCACATACGTTCTATTTTGCAGATCAGGCGGTCGTCATTGTGAAAATTGTGTGAAGATTTATTTTATTGAGACTTCAAAGCCGCCTGTAGCCAACAGGATAGAGAGGGCATGGCGAGATTGAGCACTATCAGAGTAGA